TGAAACATTCTTTTAATATTTTCCAGAGGTCCAAGAAAATAAAAGAGCTAAGAATGTTGTGAATGGCACACATTGCTTGTGGGTACATTCTGCCATATTTTGAAAGATGAATATATCTTAGTAAGAACAAGTATGTCCCTCCTCTGTTAATAACGTGCTGTCACAGGGAAGATTTTCTTACACCAGTGGTTACAATAACAGTGTTGCCCTGGCCCTTCTTTCCGTGGTCCCATGCTAGCACATACTTTGATGGTAGCTGCCAGGTCCGCTTAGATTTCTGCCTGTCCCCCAGCAGCAGTTTTGCCGAGTGGCCATCAAGAGCCCCTAGAACATTCAAAAGGAAGGTGGCGGACCGAGATGCGCTCAGTTTTGAAGCTGTTTTCTGGAGGCCTCAGAGAAAAGGCAAATTGCTGAAAAGCCTAACGAGAGGTCAGAGCACAGGTAGAGCGCTGGCGAAGAGCTGCCCTCGTCTCTGGCTTTCCTGGCCCCGTGTGGGCTGATTAACCACGCGAGCCACGAGTGACGTGGTCATGAGCAGTGACGATGTCTCTGGTGGCTCTTGGCCTTCCTCCCCATCTGCACTGCGTGCATTTTTTAGTAATACAGGCGTCAGAACTGTATTAAAGTTCTAGCTGCTCAGGAGTCCCTCTCCTACTCCTCCACCTATAAACCTGACGAGCTGCATAGCAAAGCTGCCGGCTTTAGCAATGCACGTGGCAGGCTCAAACCTACCCGAATGAGCTGAAACTTTAGTGTCACCAAAATGGGTTGCATCCACCTAGAAAAATCTGCATTATTCTCAAGGACCTCAAGGACTACATGCCTGCAGTTCGAAGGCATTTCCTTCCGAAGTGGGATTGAGAGGATGAGTCAGGGCGAATGAAGATGCTTAGGTATCTCTCTGCTTGTGGACCGTGTTCTCCCTTCTTTCCTTCCCGAGGATGCTCTGGCACCTGAGAGCCTAGGGCTAGTGTTCAAGTTCGAAATAAAAGTCCACTCTGGAGACGATAGGCATGGCACTCCAGGATGCCTCAATTCTCTGCTGTCGCCAGTCACCCCCTACAGAGGAGGCTGAGTTGTAGCCTCGTAAACAAAGCACGCCGTTTACTAGCCCTCTTTGCCATCACTGTCCTAAACTGCCACCATCCTCTGGAGTTTCCACAATTTGGCATCACGTTTGGAGGTCCTGCTCGTTCAGGCCTGCACTGGGCACAAGACACAGCCCTCTCTGGGAGGAGCAGCCCCAAAACAAAGGATTGCTGCAAAATTCAACAAATGCCGTGGTAGAGGAATGGTTAAGTTGTTCTTCCTTTTCCACATAATCTTTTAAAAAACCTTCAAAACACAGCAAACAATAACAAAAAGCACCTTATTCCAAGGCGGCCACATGTTCGTCAGCCCCTTCCCCTTCCGATAAGCATTCTGCCGCCCTCAGGAAGTGGGGTGGCGGGGGTGGGGGGCAGTGTGTGGGGAGAAGCCTGACTGGGTTGAGAACCACTAGGTTAAATGAGACAGCTTTCTCCAAGCCATGTTTAGCAAAACATTAAAAATTAGATTTAGTTCATGTCGTAAAACTTGGAAATCTCTTTCTAGTAGTTCAGGCTCTAACCTTGGGTCAAACTAAATAAGGAGGGGACCTTATGAACCGAGTTCCCGTGGACCAGAAGGAAAGCAAAGTTTGATCTGCGGCTGCTGCTGCTTTTGCCATGGCATTCGAAGGTTCCATGATTCCGTACAAGGTCAAGCATATCATTTCGGGAACAAGCAAGCAAATGGCCTGGATTTTCACCAGCATTCGTGTGTCTAGTCATCTTTTCATTATACCTATAGATTCTTTGGGGACAATGACCAGTTCTCGCTCACCTCTGTCACTGCTTGCTGAATGATTACATGGGCATAGTGGTCCTCGGAGTTTAGGGTGTGTAGGAAGGCAAATACTTCGTTTAAGGTTTTATTTCTTGCCAAGTGTTTTCACTTACCATCTTAAAGCAAGCAGTTAAATTTTTATTCTATGGTATACGTTTAGTCCTAACACCTGATTTTAGGCTCATTTTTCTGACTCGGCTACTTTCCTATAAACATGTATTTCCAGTAATAAGGATTTTATTATGACTTTATAGTTCTGCCCTCAAGGAATCAAGAAAGAAAATTCGCAGTGTTAATTTTGGTGGTCCCCCGCGAGGCTCTCTGCCTGGTATAAAGTATGGGTCAGTCTCACGGAGTGTTTAATCCTATCGTATAAGGTTCTGTAGAGTGACCCACAAGGCCCTTTTCCCCAGAAGCAAACGGAGGATTAAATGGCAAACACTAGGAATCACAGAGCTCAGAGAACCTCTCTGCTCACCAGCACCGTCCTGTCTGTCCATCCGCTTTGCGCAGGCGTGGAACCAAGTGTCCGCTCTGTCCTCCCTCTCTGGCCCTTCCTGGGACTGCTGGATTTTATCAGTCTATGGGTCCAGACTCACCTGCCATCGACTGAGACCTTATAAACCAGTTAGGAAGTTGCTCGTGGATTCTAATCTCAGATTTGCTTTATCATAATTTCTTAGTGAATCCAGAAATACTTCAGCTTTTAGTTTTCCTTGATTAGGTCTCAAATTTGCACAGTCTTCATAAGTCTCTTGAGAGGAGGCTCCTTAAAGGGCCCTGTGAGTTCCTTATGATGTGAGTAACCACTTTCTCATTTATCCATTTGCCCATACATTTTAAATTTCTAGTACTAAATCTTCTGTTTTCCCTCTTACTGAAGTGCTTTTTCTCCACCCCTACCCCATGGCCGTGTTGCTCATCTGGTGTTTATGTGGGGACATTGAGCACCCCAGCCCCGCATTCAGCCAAGGCCAGGTCATGTTTCCCTCCATCATGGCCTCTCTGCCCAGCCGTGGGCCTGGAGACTCAACCAAGACCCAGTCGACAAAGGGCATCCCTAGGCCTCTTAGTCCATTTCTTCATGAGGCTGGGGCAATTAGGGTTCATCTGGACACCCCACATCTCTGCAGGAGAGCCTCCCTGAGGCAGAGGGCTTTGCCTTCTCTCATCTGATTGGAAAAGACAGCATAAGAAAGTCTGGTTGGTGGAGAAAATTGTCTTCAAAGTGATTACTTTATTCTGGTTTTAGTCACCAGATATAATGACAATAATTTGGTCAATGTTCATTGTTTTCCACAAGCTAAAACCATGCAGAGGCCTGAAGTGTGGCGGGAGAAGCATTTTTAGACGCAAATGACAAGATGGGTTTCTAAAATGCCCTTGAGACACATCGTCAACATCTTAATCTGTTTGTAGGCAGATGCTCTATAGAACTAGGACCCCCACCCCACACACTTTAATTCTCCATACTGACGATTTTAAAACCTGATCTTAAAATTTTGTTTTTTAGCAACCCCATTCCCACTGTATTCATCTGGATCCTAAAACTGGGTTTTATCTATAGATGAAAGGCTGGGCCGTCTTGGTTTCCCACCAGAACGAAAGGGCATTGCTTGGTGAAGTGTCAGTTTATTATGATTAGTAAGTAAGCGTTGTGTCCTTCGACAACAGACGTGTGCCGTTTGGCGCTACAGTGCCTTAGAAGTGTTAACACAAGTCAGGAAGCTATTTAAAGGCGGCAGGCTGACCAAACCATCCCTCCCACACCCGCCGCGAAGCGCGGCAGTGTTGGGCTATATGCGAAGGCGGCCAAGACCCCAAGGGCTCAAAGTCCTGATTTGAACACTGCCATCTGGCTTTGGGAAAGTGAGTTCCCTTTAACTGTCACCTCTATTTTATTTCTGTGAAACGAGACAGCCATCAAAGGCCCAAGAGGTCACAGGAAGCTCAGGCCATACCCCTTTCTGCATCGCAGACGCGTTACCCACGAGTTCTCCAGCCGACCGCACATGTTTGCACACTGAGCCCGAGTCGAACAAATGTGAACTGCTTCTTTAGAGTTTTCAGTGAGACCGTGCGAACCATCCAGAAAACTGACATAGCCAGGAGAGAGAAACTCAGAAGAAGCTGGGAAGAGGAGGGGCTGAAACTCATATCTGTGTTAAGTCCTGATCTGTCACTCCAGGGCAGGGCAGGGCAGCGTAGCAGGAGGAGTTAGTTACTCACGGCGGAAGCGACAGTGCTGGTTCTGTTACCAGTGTGGCCACATTAACAGCTCGCGAGGTTTCTGTGCTGCCATATTTGTTGTTCTTACACTCGCTCGACCCCTAGGAGTTTACAGATTTCTTTTAAAAAAGGAAAAGAGAGTTATTTACAAAATATTTATGTCATAATGCAAGACCTATGGGAGAAGAAAGTAATTCTGAACACGATGATTCAATAGATCTGAAATTAAGTTTATATTTTTAAAAATTTTCTCTTTGCAGGTCGACTGCTAGGGAGTATGCCCTGAAAATTATCAAGAAAAGCAAATGCCGAGGCAAAGTATGTATAAAGTTTATTCTTATGAAAATATAATATTTGGGGGTAGAGACACAGGGATCAGCTCCCAAATAAACATAAGTTCACCCCATTTGTTGTGTTTTGATGGAATAGAATGTTATATACTAATTAGGATATAACTTTATTCTATAAATAGTCCGAGAATAAAAGTTAGCTGGAGTGATTGGATGTTATTTATGCTCCTTATCTTTGTTTGCTTGTTTACTTTCTCTCATTACTTTATAATCTAAGTTTCATTTCATCCTACATGAACTTATAGTTATTGTGATAGATTCTGAAATTACAAGTGTCATCTAAGGACCTTCAGCATCTTTTGGCAATTCTAGGCTCTCTGAATGTCAGAATCTAAGATATACTCTTATGTTTGACCCAATTACACGCCCCTTGATCTCCACATAGTGTAGTTTTACTCCTTTGAGTTGGCGCCTCCTACACGTGGCCGTTTATGTTGATTAAGTTCACTTCTCCCTTGGACAGGAGCACATGATCCAGAACGAGGTGTCTATCTTAAGGAGAGTGAAGCACCCCAACATCGTTCTTCTGATTGAAGAGATGGATGTGCCAACCGAACTGTACCTTGTCATGGAATTGGTAAAGGTGTGTGTTTTGGAAAAAGAAATAAACCTATACAAGGCAGCACACTTTTCGATAA